CGGGGGTTGACTGTATATAGAAGCTTTGGTCAGTTAGGGTTGTGCTCAATTTTCCCTGGCGTTCAGTTGGGCGGTGACGCATTAGCCGCGCTCAGTTCCTTCAATGCCGTCATGAAAGCAGATGGGGCCAGAGGGGTGCTTTCTTTTTTTGGCTGGCAGTGCTGGGCGCCTGCGTCGGCAACACTGACGACGTTGACGACGACCACGAGAAACGGGGAGGTGGGTATTATATACAGCAATGGCGGGATGTGAATGAAAGGGCGCGGGAAGAGGGGCACGGTTTTGTTTAGGAGCGAAGCTAGTCTCAGCTGGAATCAAAACTCAGTGACGATTCACTGAGTTTATCTCAGTGAATGGGGGCGTTAACTCAGTTAGTACGGGGTGTTGTGCGACACTTTACGTACTTTTTGATGATGTCTAAACTTGCTGTGCTGGGAGTTCGCAGACCAAGAGCGATTTCCCCCGAGTGCTTCGGAAACAAAAAAAATGTATTTTCCGTGAATTTTTTCCTTCTCCAGAAGTGTTATCCCGAACACGCGGAAATGCTCTACGTTGAGCGTCTAATTGATCATCGAATGGTAGTGGAACGCAGTGTTCGCCGTATTATTGACAAGTTACGATATCAGGAGGGTGCTCATTGTTTCATGCATAAATACTGTTCTAGGGCTTTATTTTAGAAATCGTTTGTGATACATATTAGCAGACGGCTATCAAGTAAAATTGTTCTTTCTTGTTCAGGCTTCAATCAAGAATGATGCCACGTACGTACAGTATTTATTTAAATCGATGAAAGAATCCATGATGTTATCTTAGTTTAAAATAAAGAATACACTACAGGAGTTATATTCGTGATTTATTATAGCTTTGATATAATAAATACATTTGATATACAGTAATTAATTTGATATACATTTTTATTTGCAGTGGTATCAGCTCTAGGAATACCCAAGCCTAAGTTGACCCTTGTACTGTTTATTTCGAGTGACCTCTGTGGTACGTAAACTGCCAGACGAGTTCAAAAATCCTTATTTTTGGATGTGCTGTTTTGACTGCATTTGAATGCATATCCAAAGGTTGGAGTTAGGGACACTTTTCTGAAAATTTCCCAAAAATTGAAATTTTTTTTATTTTGATATCTTTTGAAGAAATCAAGCTATTTATGTTTAAGAAAATGTAAAAAAATATTACATGATAAATTCACTCTAATTCATAATTAAAAGCAAGCTGATTTTGTGCTTTTTTGATTTTTTTAAAATCATCTGTGCATATTGAATACTAGAAGACTTCTTCTTTTCCTTTGCTTTTTGATTGCCTTTTGATAACAAAAGATTATGTTCTATGTGGTTTTGTTTTGCACTTTGGTTTTCAACAACTTGAAGTTGAGAAAACAATTTTTATTTAATTTTTTGAGGAATTGTTTCTTATTTTTTACAAAGATGAGAACCAATTAAATACATGAGCTTCGAAGTCTACAACAAAAAATGAGACTGGACTTACAGATATTCCAACATCAGGACACTCTTGATGCACCAATTATGCCTGCATCTCAGGGAGTCAGGGTCTCAGTGTTGGTCCTTTTTTCCATGATGAAGACCCAAAACTAAATTGTTGAAAGCTTTCAAATGATTTCAAAGTATGGAGTCGACAACAAAAAAACTTCTGATTTCGATACGATTTCAGAATCCGGATGTGATAAGGCCAAGAATGGCAGCTTTGAAGGGGTCAAGGAAGAGTTTGGATCTTTGCGATTCCAGATCAGCAGTTTTATTCTGCTGCTTCTCACTTTTCGCGGTAATTCAAGGGAGTTATAATTCGAGTCCCAAGTTTGCCAACACTATTCCTGGGAGACAATTGGGTGCTATTCAGCCAATCAGAAGCGTTGAAGAAATAGTCGCATTGCTGGGACCTCCACCGTATTCTTACGTGTTCAGAGAAGGTGAGCTCCAGTTCATTGATGAGGAACAATATGTTATATTACACTATATTACAATCGAGGCCTCTTGATTTAAATTATGAAATTTTTTGAATTCTTGGGGACTCGAGCTAGTCGAGCAAACCTATTCTTTTACAGATACAGCATTTCTATTCATAACACTTTTTGAATATTGCGCGCACGCAGTATAACGGAAGTTTAATTTCTGCCCACAGCCAGATTCTCCCCTAATTTTTACAAAGCACGTACAATATTACAAAGTGAGAGGGAACAATGATTTAGATTCATTACATAATACAATACAGCTTTAAAATATCTTCTGGAAAATTCTTTTTCCGCGAACACATCTGAAATTTTCACCTGTTTGATATATTTTTGTGTCAAATACAGTATAGATGATGGGAGAGCGAAATCAGAATCAAGTAAATCCCCCATTTTTTTCTTGCCTGCTATGAATAGATTCTTGAAAGATTCAAGAATTCTGCGGACACCTTATACTTATTTTTCCATTGAAAGTCGAAATTGCCTCTCATCAACTCGCAGCAATACTGTTTGAAAATCATTGATGCATCACGAATGTGCAAAAAAAAAAATGAGACAGTTGATTGCACCAGACCTTGTGTAGGTATTAAACTTGAAAGATCATTAGCTGATGATTTTGTGTTTCAATGAAAAAAAAAATATTTGGTGTTTGTAGAAATCTTGAATCTTTGTGTTGAGTGCAGAGAAATGTGCTTAGATCAGTGGAGAATATTAAGAAGAAGTTTGGAGAAATATCATGCAGTATACTGTATCACTGGTCATTAAATTTTTTATTTTAAGCATCGGATATAGGGTGGAATAAAAATTGTACGCGTCATGAACTCACAAAGTCACGATAAAACTTGAGCTCAGCAAGACTTAGATAATATTCGAAGCAGCTGTTTTTCCAAAGATTTTCTCACCTCGGACCCAATGTTTGAAGATTTAAAAAAAAAATGTGCGTAATTGTTTCGTCTAGATTGCCCGAAGTGCAATAAAGCGATTTGGGATCCTGTTTGCGGTTCAGACTACAGAACTCACCCGAACGGTGAATGTTTGCGAAGATTGGCATGCAGACGGCGAAGGAATATTTCAATTGAACACGTGGGGCCTTGCACTCACAAATCCGCAATTTTGGGAAGGTCCCCTCGATCGATTTCACGCACAAATGCTCGAGAGAAACTCAAAGGACCAGGTATGTATAATACTGATCATCAATTAAATCAACGGGTATAATTTTTCTTTGACGTTTATGAAAGTTGAACAAGTCTCCAAATGTGAAATTATGCTGCATTTAAAATTGTATGTATATAGTTTTACCTCGGCTGAGGAACAGGTGCCATTCGAATAAATTGCAGCGATTGAAAAAATTAGTCCACATATACGCGTACAGTAAAAAATAATTATTCGCACGCAGAGCCAGTCACTTGGGATTTGGTGTTTAAGCTAATTTTCTATTAAGTTTTGTAAAAATGTGGCCTTCAATTAAAGTACTGAACTGTACTGTACTAGAGACTTGATTTTGTTATTCTTATTGCTCTGATTAGAGTGCCTTTCGAGGATTGATTGCTAAATTTGCAGTCCATTACTCATCATAGTTAAGAGTAATGAAATTAATGCTTAACTATTTGTGAAACTCTTGTGGCAGCTATTTTTTTTACTCTTCACTCGGAGTAAGAACGGTTGTAACAAGCCGAAAATTCCTCGTGCAAAAAAAAAAAAAAAAAAAACTTTGCTGTGAGCTTTTTTTCTGGTGAGAATTTACTATTAACAATTTCCTCGGGGTAATTTATTTTCATCATTTAGAGTTAACACCAGTGGTGTGCACTCCTTGCACTCATAACTTGTATCAACCTCTGTGTGGATCCGACGGAAGAACTTATCCGAATTGGATGTGTCTGCGAAATCAGGCTTGCAAACAACGCAAAAACATCCAAGTCATCAACCCAGGACCTTGTGGAGTCGGCTTCCTCAAAGGACCATACAAGCAGACAGCCAACTTCTTTACTGGTGAGTAGTGACTGATTAATTTTCTGCCTTAAATTGATCCCTTCGACGAAAGAATCCCGAAATTTTTATTTGATTTTAGACGCTAATTGGCTGGAGCAAAAAGCTGAAAAACTCGGCAATATTCGTTCTTTTCCTCTCATTATCATCTTATTCCCGCGGATAAATCATTATAGATATCATAACTTAGGTAAGTGGTTGTGTCAAGAATTGATTATGCGTTTTCTTTAGAATCGGTATTAGTACAAATATCGAACCCGAGAACATTCTTTCCAAAATGGTAAGCCCTTTAATCCCCAGCCCAAAAAGTCCAGCTTAATTTTTTTTGTTATTTCTTGAAACGGGTGGCAGCTTTCCATGAATTTTGGCTTAATACTAATTTTTGAAACTCTTCAAATTTTTAAAATAATTTTCCCCCTAAAAAAAACAAAGAAAATGATACCAAATAGCATATGTTTCGAAAATTTTATTTGAAGCAGAAAAGTAAGGCCAATCAACATGCCTAAATTCTTTAGGAATTCTTGGAATATTGTATGCTCCACAACTCGACTGGAGTGTGTTTCTAGTGATTGATTCAGTATCAATCACAAGGTTTTAAAAAGTATAGTCCAAAATGTGCTCACGTATCTGAAGTCTTGCATGCAAGTTTTATTCAAGCTTAAAACTTGAATTTTTTGGTTGTGATCTGCTTCAAATACTGCACACACACTTTCCTCAAGTTCGTCTTTATTTTAAAGCCTTTATCTGCTGTAGCTCTGAGTCAAGACTCGGCACGAGCAAGTTTTTGCATTTTCTTGTCCACTTATATTCTCTTGGAATTTTGAATCTCAATCTAAAAGAATTAACTTTTGCCCAACTGTATACATTGCAAACATTTATGAAAATGATTCATGTTCAAGATCTGACAGCATTATTATAAAAACGATACAAAAATCAAAACGTATGCAATCAGCAATATGCTCAATATCCTGCTTTGTATAGGATCTAACCTCACTAAATAATCTTGCGGAAGCAATCAGTACTTTGCTGGTAACTCAGTACTTTGCTGGTGCTTTACTGATGCTGGCCACGTGTTTCGCCATCGAAAGATGGATGGGCTGGATTTTCATTGATAAAAATTATCGCAGGGGTGCAATCTCAGTCGCCGGAATGCCTGGACTGCAATGCGATGGTGGGAAAACCCGTGTGTGGCTCGGATGGTCGAACCTACTCAAATGAGAAGTGCCTCAAATCGGCTGCCTGCCAAAATGAGCTCAAGAATGTAAGAACTGTGGCTGCGGGTCCCTGCAAGTTCACCTTCACGGCAGTCCCATCGACCAAACCTACTCGAACCAACTTTACATCCACGTCTATTACTATAGGTAATGTACCGCTGAATTTTTTATATGCGTAGTTACTCTACGCACCACATAGATGCTACCCGGTACAATCAACATATTTGAATACCTCCGGCAGATGTCGCCTCAATCTGCTGGAACCTCTAGAAACAATTCCAATTCATTGGCTGAACCTATTCCGTTGTTGACAGAATTCATTCGTAGAGGACTTATAACATTGGAAAAACCCTATGGGACCAAATAAAAATTCGTTATGCAGAGAAATTTGCTGTAGACAAGATTATTGTTTCAGAAAGAGCAGTCCATCTGTATATTTAGCCTTGGCCAAATTTAGTACACAATAACCTATATACGTAACCCCAACTCAATAAATTTTCAATTCTGTTCCTGTATTCATGTTTTATTGAACCTTGCCAAAAACATCGCGCGCGGAACGACATTATAGCTTGCTTGAATATGAAATCGGCCAATTTATTTTCCCTTTGTGCTGGACAGGTATATACTGTATAATAGGACACTCTGCAATTATTTTGTCTACAAGGTTTTCTCTGCGTAACGGATTTTGTCGGGTCCAAGTATGGGGCTTTCGACCCATTCTATATAGGGTTCTCTTCACTTAAATTCTCTTTATACTGTACTTGTACAACGCTTTTTTTTATTCCCCTGAATTTTTTGGTATAGAGAATCTACCTGTGTACGTGGAACTGAGAAAAAACACCTGGCCGAATCTAACGACTATAATAACCCAAATTAAAAAACCTTAGGAGATCTCTTTCAAAATTGAAGTGACACCTATACAGAGAAAATGAAAACCATAAACCAGGGGAAATTTCACTGCCTTAAAAAGACAGAATCGCCTTTGCATCGAGATATGAGATTAGGGAATTTATAAAGTAGCCCACCCTGATTAATCAGAGAATTTTAAATGACATGGCGTATTTTTTTCAATGTTTGCTTGACGTTTTATTGCTCCTATAATATGAACTTGTAATATAAGGGATTTCAACAAGTTCTACATCCCAATATTGCTGATGGGTGTTTCTAAATACTATATAAGACAGCCAATGCGAGAAAATCTTACTCCCCTACTTGCTTTTTTAATTTCGCAAACTCCTCAAAGTAATTATTATACCGACGAAATTATAAGACTAAAGAATAATATGCATCACTCTTTTCGCTATAACCTATCGGATTCCAATAGCTTCATTCCGTGATTATTGTCGCGAAGCTTTCAGAATCATTCGAATGATGTCATTTTGGAAATATTCTTTTAAACGAATGAAAGAACTCAAACGTTTTTCTTCTGATGCTCCGGATTTCAGAGTGCCCAGCGATTTGCTCGGACGAAAAAAAATTCGTCTGCGCTTCTGACGGCATCACGTATCCGAACGATTGTCTGATGCGAATGGAAGCCTGTCTCTTTAAAAAGGCACTTCAAAAGTCATTCGACGGCAAGTGTTCCGAAGAGGAAGACGACGTCGACAGTGACGACAACGACGAGGACGAAGACAACGAGGATAACGACAACGACGTAGAGGAAAGAACCGAGTCTGAATCTCAAAAACAACCCGAGTCTACGACCGCTCAAGCAGTAACTACGACAAGTGGGTTTTCTCGGGAAAAATCTGCTGTTTATTTTTAATGAGACTCTCACAAGGAGCATAATTACTAGTTGACTTAGCTATATAAACGTGGATTCACTTCAACATTACCACAATCAAAGCAGAATAAAGTCAATGAATCAGGGAAAAAGTACGTGTATAGCTCTGATTTCAAAACTGTAACACATATGCAGAAATATGTAAAAATTAGTTCTTGATTTACTCTTTTGAATGAATCTTTGCATTGCTGGTGAATGAAAAAAGTTTTATCCTGATGCTTTTGAACTACCATTTTTCTTCCTTTATAAATATCAGATCACATTTGAATTACTCTTTCGTGGTTGAGAGTCGTTCAAAATATATTTTCCATGGTTTTCAAAAGCAGCTTTTAGTCAGTAATTTTTTTTTCGGAATAATGCATGAAATGGACTGAGATAATTCGCCATTCCTATGAGTATAGTGCCGAGAATAATTCGTTGCTGAGAAAAGCTGAGCCAATTCATTTTTCGTAATTTCCTCGAAATAGTTGTACTTCGGATCTGCATTTTTCGAAGTCAGAAAGCCGGAAAAATTAAGNTCGCCATTCCTATGAGTATAGTGCCGAGAATAATTCGTTGCTGAGAAAAGCTGAGCCAATTCATTTTTCGTAATTTCCTCGAAATAGTTGTACTTCGGATCTGCATTTTTCGAAGTCAGAAAGCCGGAAAAATTAAGGAATAAAAATGATTGGTCGCATACTATTTTTCTTTCTATTCGTTGTCATTTTCACGTACCCAGCACTCTGATGCTACGAAACACGATATAGAATACTTCAGGCGTTAGTGTAGGAAAGCAATGAAATTATTTTCCAAATTCTCAAATTTTTAATTCGTAGATTCATCCTGTGTTTTAAAAGGAGTACCTGTTATTGAATAACTGCATGGTTCAATTTTTACCCTTTTCAGTACGTTGTCCATTTCGTAATTTTAACGCTAAATATTGAGTATTTTTCATCGCGTATAAATAAGGTTCGCCGGAGACAGAAACGGGTCAATTGCCCACGGCTCCGGATGGAACGAAACTCCAGAAGCGACAGCAACGCGAGCAACGTCGTCAACAACAGCAAAAAACAATGACCAGTGGAAACAAGGGCAACAAGAATAGAAACAGGAACGTCACCAAGCAGAACAACGCAAACAAGAAAAAGCGACGCAGTCATCGTTCCTCTGATGGTTCGTACCCATAAAAAAAAGATTTTCAAGACTGCGGAAGGGCACGTTATATTAGGGCTTTTTATCAAATTACGCGGGATACTGGCTTGCGAGACAATTGACGAGAAGTTTTCGAATGATTTCGGGGGAATCATTATTTCGGGGGAAATCATTATCTTCCTCTTATTTTAATGTTTTCTGAATAATATAGTCAAGTGGTTGGCAGGATTATATACCTGCAGTACATCCCACTGGAGTGGGGGGCAGTACATCCTACTGGAGTATGCTTCATCCTCATCTTTAGTTCGATTTTTTCCACCCCCCCAAAAAAAAAGTTAACAAGTGGTTGACAGGATTATATGCATATATTGTACCTGTGGTGCATCACCCCTTCCTTTTTCGGAAATCGCGGAATCCCCAGTGGTATGCTGATGCGCGAATATCGATTCCAGGCGGGGTGTGCCCTGTGTGCACGCGCGACCTTGACTGGGTCTGCGGGGTCGACGGCTATACATATGTGAACCCGTGTTCCCTCCGACACGAATCCTGCATTCGACGCAAAGCCAACTTCATCAAGAGACCTGGCAGATGCTGATGAAGAACAACTGCAGCGGAGAGTCCACGCATTTTTTCGGACCTGTTACATGATGATGCTGTTTTTTTGAGGATTCGCGTGGGATTCAGGTACAGTAAATACTGTGCGTATAGGTGGATTCTCTCAGCAACTATAAATACCATGAAAAAATGCATGTAGATAGCCACTTCAACCGAAAAGGGCAACTTCTTGCTCAGCAATAGACATTTCATTGAAATCTTCACATTTTGCATCACTTCTAACATGTGGGACATGTTAAAAACGTGTCAAATAATTAATCTTATCTTGGGTTTGGTCCTACGTACAGTAGTCTGCCAAAAAATGCGCAAACTTTGCAAGCACAGTATGTATAGCAAGTATCGCAGGTTAAACCTTACTTTTTTTTACAGTGATGATGTAAACTTTGGCTTTCCCAATTCAAACCTCGGTATTCCGTGTCAATTAGTGTTTATTCACTTTCAAAAGCAACACTGGTGGCATATTTCTTGCTAAAAACTAAAAGGTAAATGTCCGGAGTTTATGTAGAGTGCTTTCACGTACCGAAATAGATGGTTAATGCTTTTGCTCCACTAGCCTTTGCTTTAGAAGTTCGTCTCGTTGCTTCGACTGACAAAAGTACAAATATAAAAATATTTATTCGAGAAATCTTCGAACTGACGCGAACTGAAAAACCAATTCCTTGGATTCGGCATTTCGAGAGACTGTTCGAGCAATACAAGTACGAAATAAAGGAGGTCAAAATCATGAATTATAATGAAAGATTCGGAGGTTCTTTCTTCTCAGAAAGACCATCAGCAGGAACTTTCGCAGAACGAAAGAAAAATACGTTTTCCTCGATACCCCGAATCCTTTTTAATACCTGCATGCGATCCATAATTGATGGATCGTATACCCTGGGACTTCAGGGAACAAAATGAACTTGTGGAACAGCTCTAGATTGAGGAAAGATAGATCACGTTCGGGGTGAACCGCACGTACCGGAAATGCACAATCGTCCGTCTTTTTGTGCTGAAAAGAACCGGAATGAATTTGCAGTCACGCCATGTGATGTGGAACAGCTCTAGATTGAGGAAAGATAGATCACGTTCGGGGTGAACCGCACGTACCGGAAATGCACAATCGTCCGTCTTTTTGTGCTGAAAAGAACCGGAATGAATTTGCAGTCACGCCATGTGGGAATATAAAGCGCAGTGGTTTATTTATTCCTTCGTGCCAAGAACCTACGGCTGTTTTCTTCGGCCCTTCTCCGGGTCATTATGATGCGTTCACAGCATGTCTCTTTTTTGAATGATTAATCCATTTCTGATGAATAAATCTCGTACAGTATTTATTTTCTGCGACTGTTCATCTTTCAAGTTCCTCGGGTAAAGCTCAACTGATGCCGCGTGCCTTGTGTCGTCTATCACTACTGTCAGTAGCAATAGTCTCTGCCAAAGTCTTATCAGACATTTTCTTAAAAAAAAAAAAAACGAGATGTAAATCAAACCTTCGTGAGAAAAATTCGAATAATAAATTATCAAAACTACTTAATGAATATTCCTCCCGTTTCCAGCACCCAATGAACGACATTTTCGGAAATGTTGAGGCCGGGGTCACGGGAAATCTCACTAGAATCAATTCTTGTCATCCGATTTTCTTCCTGAAAGAACTCTATCCAGTTGCTGTGATGCCACTATTTTTGAATTTATTGTGTACTTGTAATATAATTATATAAATCATTCCTCTCTGATGTCATAGAATTTCGATAATGTCCTTCTTGGAATATTTCAAAAATGAGGCATGGATGTCAGCCGAGAAATAACCACCCACACCGTATTTCGATCATCGCGTTGTCAACATGTCTCGCGTATAATACCAAGAAAACATGCGCCTGTTTTCATATAATTTTTTTAAATTTAGGATTTCACTTAATGTACAGATGATATAGTCCGAGCATATCGCTGTATCCCAGGCGAGTGGAATCTCCGTTGGCTTTGTAGAAAGCATATATCACGGAAGTGCTGTCGTCCGTATATGGGTAAGGCCCAAACTGTGTCCGATTTCATGCATTGCTGCCACATCGAAGAACTGTACTCCTGCATCGGATATGAGAATAAATGCGAACTGATGGTTAAAAACCCGCATATATAGATCGGATTACCTGAACGCTGAACGTAACGGACATTCGAGTCAATAACCTTTTACATTATTATATGAGGCACGACGATGACGTCCGTCAACATCATGGTCCTTGGAGTCCAAAATAAGTACTGTACATAATAAGGCAGGATAACAGCCGCATACGCGATAAGAAATCCGGCTGTACTTCAAGTCATGCATGACCTTTTCAACCTCTAAAACCATCGCGCAAATCATCTTTCAATTACCGTATGTAGTCATAGTCGCCCTCTTTCTCAAATCTTAAGAATTACCACGCGCAGAGTTCCATAAAGAATTAAAAATCTGCCAGTATACTGTAGTGCTAAAGAGGAAGGAGTGAAACTACAACAAAGCAATCCGATGTTCTTGTAAACACCAACTGAGCAAAATACTGTTCTGTACAATGAAATCTTTTAAATATCAAGCGATTTTCAAATCTTCTATGATCAGCATCATGTTCCGTTTTTTTCTCTCTCGGCAAACTCTATGATGTAAAATCCTTTTCTCCACAAAAATTAACTTTAAAAATCAGGGTTGGCTTGATTTTGAACCGCATTAAAATTTGATTGCATTTTGAAGTCTTTCCCGGGCAAGATTTATGCTTTCGCGAATACAGGAGGTACTTCGCAATTTGGTCCTTATCTGTCGCCAGACTATAGGTCTAATAGTAAAGCTGTCGAATTGCGAGACTCTTTTGTTAAAGTAAGGAATATCAGCACGAACATTCGAACAAAGTGTGCAAAGCAAGTCAAATTCTGGGGCAGAGGTCGATTTGCAAGCGAGTCTCTCTGCAAATTAACCGTCAAATTGCCAGATGGTCGAATTGCAGGAGGTCAAATTGCAAGGTACCACCTGTACTGCTTGCATCAGAGGGCTCTCTCTACAACAGAATTCAAGGGACCAACAAAATCATTGTAGAGAGCTTTTTTTCCACAGGACCCTTAATTAAAACACGCAGTGACAACTGTACGGGACCACACACAAAAATTCGCTGAGAAAATCGTTGTAGATTTTAAAGAGAGTTCACCTGCAAAAAATCGGTTGAAACTCAATTAAACAAATTCCAACTGTGCTTCCGAGTTCAATTATGCTCAATTTCGTTGGATTAGGAATCCTGGCTTTGCGTTTGAAGTCCGGTTTCATCTCGTGTTTTCCGTGGGCAGAAACAACGTAATTTACAGATGGATCATGTGATGAATAATGAAAAGCACACCACCAAGCTAAAAGACGACTTATTGTGCATCTGAAAGCAGAACAAAGGCATCACTCCCCTCACCCGGAAAGTATGAGTCGCTGGAACTTTCTGAGAACTCATTATTCGCCGGAAGTCCGCAGAAAGCCAGTTCTCGTCGTTATCAAAATGGATGTCACCAACATAATGACCCGATTCGAAAGGATGAATAGGCATGAGCCAGCACATTTCCTCGTCCATCGAAAGGGTAACTAAAAGGAGAAATTGTTGTTTTTACTCGACAGTTACAGGACAATAACCTCACCCGGCTGATAAAACAGCAGGGATTTTTGAATATTATTATTGAAAGAGTTTGTAGGAGAACAAATTTAGCCTATTTTGCATCTCTGACGTTTCAGAAAATCTACAAGTGCATCAATTTACAATCAGTCCATGTATGCATGTACAAGGTACAAATAAAATATGCAGAAATGTATGGTACTATGCATGCCACTGCATTTTTTCTCAATTATTGAATTTGAATGCGGTTATACTGTATGCAGTAGCTGATTAAATGCTGGTATATACTACACTATACAGTACTGCAATTGATTTTTTAAATGCTGCTCACACAATTTAATCAATATCTCCCATTCGCAATACGAAGTCACCCGTACAGGAAAATTTGAACATCCGCAAATATTTCTTTTACATGATGAATTCTATCGCAAGTATTACAATAGATAAATGCTTATTTTATACAAATTTAAGATATGCCAGTTATTCAATGAAGCACCTCGATTTTTTTCTGAGCTCAAACTTGAATGAATATTTTTGGACTAGTTTTGTATTTTGATATTGAATCTAAGATTCTAAGTCATCGTGTATTAGGTCACCTAACATTTTTGAATATAGAAATATTTGGTTTCTGTTCGAGCGAATGAGAAACGCTGTTCAGAACCATAGACGATGTTCTAAATATTGTAATCTCCATTCGTTTTGTGAAGATTATTCGATCGCAAATGTTTTGAAGTTCCTTGTGCTGGACAGAATTTAGCTGAAAAATCCAGAAGACTTTTCAGATTGCTGTATAGACTGTAGAGTGTAGGGTGCTGTAGACAACACTGCTTCTCAAATTCCGCGCACAGTATTTTATTTCGAAAAAAGACTCCCGAGCTTTTGTCACGATATAAATGCGCTCATTCATCCCAGGAAAGATGAACATCGCCGCCACAAATCCCAGGAAGAAGGCTGCAGATTCCGGTGAAAGCTTTATCGAATTTCTGAGAAAGAGCTATACTGTATACAGTAAGCACTTTTCGGAAAGGGAAACAATGGAAGGAGAAAAACATAAATTCTTACACTGTACCTGTCTCCTCGACCAAACGCAACCACGATATATCCACGTCCGGCTGATTCACAAAGGTGAAACTCAGGTTGGAATAAGGGCTCATCCACACTTTAAAAGCAGTTTTCGCAGTTTCCCGAGTTGTTTCCTGTCCTAAATGGTTATTCCAGTTTTCAAGACGGAAAAAAATTCAACATAGTGCGAATAGTCATCAAAACTTTTTTCACCCTCCATTTTTTTTGCTACAAAATAACGTTATAGGTCTAAATTAAGTCGCCATGCGATTTTTCATCCCATAAATATTATTTTTTCAATTTTTGAGATTCTTACACGCCTAGTTCAAGTGTCTCACCCTGAGTTACAGACACAATCACGAACAAATTTTCCATTTTTGAGATGATAGTTGAATGAAATTGAGAGCTTTTTGAAATTTTCTCTTCACAAATTGTTCGCAATGCGAAGAATTCGAGGAATTACTGTATAGGG